GCTGTTAGGGGCCTGACAACAGTCCTTCGAACAATGCCTGGCACACAACAGCTAATACTCACACACTATTTTTGTTGTCACTGTTCAGTTATGCATTAGGGCAGTGATGGCAAACCTTTTGAGCTCAGCGTGTCAGCATTTTGAAAAACCCTAACTTGACTCTGGTGCCGTGTCACATATAGAAATTTTCTGATATTTGCAACCATAGTAAAACAAAGACTTCTATTTTTGATATTTATTTTATATATTTAAATGCCATTTAACAAAGAAAAATCAACCAGAAAAATGAGTTCCCGTGTCACCTCTGACACGCATGTCATGGGTTCGCCATCACTGCACGAGGGAGTCATTAGGTCCTGGCTGTGGATGAGATTGGGGAGGGAGAGAGCTTAGGGAGCGAGCACTGAGGGAGGAGGAGTGGCCAGGGCAGTGGGAGGAAAACCGGGATTGGATGGGCAGGGCTAGGAGAGACAGAGAGCTGGCGAAGAGGGAGTGGGTCGCAGGTGAGAGGCTGGCGGGAGGACAGAAATGCTCCTTGTCACAGGAAGCGTAAGAACTGTTGGTGACTTTGACTAGGACGTTTCTGGGGAGTCTTGGGGGGAAACACCTGGCTGCGGGTCCAGGAATGAATGGCAGGAGAGGCAGCGTGGACTGTGTGGGGGCGGGTCTTGAGAAGAAGGGGGTTTTGTACAGGGAACAAGCACTAGGGCAGGAATTGGGTGGGGGATGACAGCATCAGATGAGAAATTTGAGAGGGTGTGTGTTAGCTGGTGGGGAGGGTCCAGGAGGAATGCGGTGATGGGGAAGGGACAGGAGGGGTGGCTTTGTCCTGAATACTTGGAGATGAGTCTCCCTCCCCATGAGAAACTTGGAGACCCTGGAGCTTGGCAGTTGGGACCCATTCATGTTTATATTCTTCCCAATAAGTCCCATCATGCTTTGCAGGAAAGAGATGAGCTAGCTGCGTAGAACTGAACTCTATTCCATGGATTTGTTTATTTTTGTCTTGTAGTCTAAATGCCCAGCTGAAAACGTTGACAACTCCGGGAAAACAGCTCTACATTACGCAGGTAACTTCCATTCCTTGTTTGTCTCCTGCCGTAGACACACTAACTCTTCCTTTTCCTGATTCAAGCCATTGCACTGACCATGTTATAGTATTCCTGGTGCTGTTTTCTGTCATCATTCCTAGACATTCCCACTTTATTCAGCTTGCAAAGTGTGTGGCGTTACCAAGGGATAAACCTAGAATTCACCCATTGCCCTCCAAACTACCAAAAAGAAATTGTTTTAATTATATTTTAATTAACTTAAAGGTTCTTTTTTAAACGGAAGGGTATTCATAAACATCTGTAGATTTCAAGTAACGTGTGACACAGAGTCTTTTGTTTGGCATTCATTAATAACATCAATCCATTTGTCAACATGTTGTTTTACTAACTGTCTTGCAGCTTCAAGTGGCAAAATGTTGACACTGAGCTCTGGGATGATGAGGTTGACAGCTTCTTTCAGGGCTGGTTATGGGAACGCTAGGTCCGATGTTTGCCTCCAGGCAACTGGCAGTCGCTGGCTTCAGGGCCGGCTCACACTGAAATTAAACAGTAATTGAAAACATCTCTTATTTTACCTTCCTGGCGCCATTTCTCTTCTATGCAGCCAGAGTGAACGGAGGCAAGCTGGGTAGAACCCCAGCCTCTTGCCCCGGGGTGGGGGGAGGGGGGTGCCCAGGCTGTGAGCGTGGCTTTGTGATCGGCTGGTGTTTGTTTCCCCTCCTCAGCGGCGCAGGGCTGCCTCCAGGCTGTGCAGGTTCTGTGCGAGCACAAGAGCCCGGTGAACCTCAAGGATCTGGTAAGTGGCAGGCGGCCACGCGGGTGGAGGTGGACATGGTTTCTGGGGCACTGTGGGTGCTCCTGGGGGCCACTGACACTTTAGAGAGCTCAGTGTTTGGCGAAGTCCATGGCTTTTCAACCTAACTCTTCTGCAGAGTGGCTGTAAGTATTATCCCCCATTGTTCCCTAAATCATACATAAAGCAGTTTTTAAAATTGATAGAAAGAGGTTTTTAAAATTTATTTTAGAAAGAGGGAGGGAGAGGGAGAGGGAGAGGGAGAGGGAGAGAGAGAGAGAGAGAGAGAGAGAGAGAGAGAGAGAGAGGACATGGATCAGCTGCCTCCCACATGCACCCCTGCTGGGGATCGAATCCGCAACCTCAGCATGTGCCCTGCCCGGGAATTGAACCTGTGACCTTTCGGTGTCTGGGACAATGTTTCAACCAATGGGGCCACCCTGGTCAGAGCTAAATCAAATGTTTTCTGCATGCACTTCCCATGTGTGCATATTTGTATTTAAGGATATATATGTGGTCTCCCATCAACTTAAATATTAGTAAGACGCAGTGTCTTGATTTTTAAAAATAAGTCTGGGGAGGAGTTTTATTCTTTTCCTTTGGTGCCCACGCTTCACCGGGCACTGCTGGTCGGAGTTTCCCAGCTGTGAGGACCACTTCTAGCCGACCCTAACCCTCCTGGGCTATTGGGAGAAGCAGTCCACATGCCTGTTGCTCCTGCTGACAGGGTTCCGTTTCTGGCTGCTGCACGGGAATTGATATATGCACACTTACACCTCATGGAGATATTGTGAAGTGAGCATATGGAATCTGCATACTTCACACTCCCTGGATTTCAGTACTTGATAACCAGAAAGTATTATAACTGCTCAGAGATAATTTTTTAGAAATGTGTCTGAAATTCTACTTTTAAAAGGAAACTTAATCCTTAAGCAGCAATCGTATTATGACAAACTAGAGGCCCGATGCACGAAATTCATGCAAGAGTAGGCCTTCCTTTCCCCGGCTGCCAGCACTGGCTTTCCTTCAGCCCCCAGCAGGCACCCAGACCCGGGCTTTCCTTGCAGCCCCGGCTTTGTTCGGAAGGTTGTCCAGAAGGACATCTGGTCTAATTAGCATATTATGTTTTATTATTATAGATTCCCATGTTAAAATAACTGGCTCTATTGTAACTTACCTTTCTCCTTTGCCTATTTGAAAACATCTACCTTGAACAGGACGGTCGACCCCAGTTGTAGGGAATGTTCAAGAGGCAGAATGAAAACTTCTCTTGTGGTCGGTGTCATTTGAATTGAGCCCCTTCACTCTGGGATTATGGAAATAGTTGCCTATATATTCTTCTAGTATTTTTCCCTTTGCTTTATATTGTCGTGTTTAAATTCTCAATGTATGTGTATGAGTTGGGATCTAATTTTCCTTTTAGGAATTGCCAGTTGTCCTATTGTAGCCAGTCATTCCCTCCATCCAGCTCTTTATCTAGTCCTGTCAGTGATAAATGAAAACTTCTCTTGTGGTCCGTGTCATTTGAACCGGGCCCCTTCACTCTGGGATTATGGAAATAGTTGCCTATATATTCTCCTAGTATTTTTCCATTTGCTTTATATTGGCGTGTTTAAATTCTTAATGTATGTGTATGAGTTGGGATCTAATTTCCTTTTTAGGAATTGCCAGTTGTCCTATTGTAGCATATTGAGCCAATCATTCCTTCCAGCCAGCTCTTTATCTAGTCCTGTGTCAGTGATGGACAAACTCTTCCTTCATGTTATGTTTTGGTACCTGGTGAGATTATGTAAGAGGATGCCTCCCAAGGACATAGTAGTGGCATGGGACCCATGTGGTTCACTCAGGGAGGCTGCGGGAGGGCGGTGGGACCTCCAGCTACCTTGTGAAGCAAGTCCTTCATTTGTCCAGAACCATCTCTCAGCAAACCTGGGATCTATGCGTGTCTGGAGCCTCAACATTCTCTCTCTCTCTCTCTCTCTCTCTCTCTCTCTCTCTCTCTCTCTCCCTCTGGTGGCCCAAGGAACAAGCAACTCAGGAGGCGGAGGCTCCTAGGAAAAGCTGAGTGAAATCCCATGCGAAGAGTTATGCTAAGATGTAGGGGCCCACCTGGAGCACAGACTATCACCCGGGGGTGGGGGAGGGGGGGTCAGCCATAAGACCAACAGGACAACTCAGGAATAAATGTAGAAAGAAAAGGACCTTTGTAATTCTGGCACTGGTGTCAGCATTAAAAATCTTAATCGGCGTGGCTCATGGTGGATCATCAACCTATGAACCAGGAGGTCACGGTTCGATTCCTGGTCAGGGCACTTGCCCAGCTTGTGGGCTCGATCCCCAGTGTGGGCTGAGGCTCCTAGGAAAAGCTGAGTGAAATCCCATGAGAAGAGTTACGCTAAGATGTAGGGGCCCAACTGGAGCACAGACTATCACCCAGGGGTGGGGGTGGGGGGATCAGCCATAAGACCAACAGGACAATTCAGGAATAAATGTAGAAAGAAAAGGACCTTTGCAATTCTGGCATTGGTGTCAGCGTTAAAAATCTTAATCGGCGTGGCTCGTGGTGGATCATCAACCTATGAACCAGGAAGTCACGGTTCGATTCCTGGTCAGGGCACTTGCCCAGGTTGTGGGCTCGATCCCCAGTGTGGGCTGTGCAGGAGGCAACCGATCAATGATTCTCTCTCATCATTGATGTTTCTATCTCTCTATCTCCCTCTCTGAAATCAATAAAAATATATTTAAAAAAAATAAAAATCTTACTCTGCGTTTGCCTCCTAGGATGGGAATATACCCCTGCTTCTTGCAGTGCAAAATGGCCACAGTGAGGTCTGTTGCTTTCTTCTGGATCATGGAGCGGATGTAAATTCCAGGGACAAGAATGGAAGGTACCACAGAATGCGAAACCACGTGACTTCAGGGATACGCACATCCTGAGAGTCTCAAAATATCAGAGCAGTGTTTTAGACCATTTGTAGGAAGTGGTTTTTAACTTAGCTTTTTTATTTTCTGCCTTAGTAATCAAGAATCTGTTTTGACTTAAAAAAAATTTTCCCAGATCTCTGGGAACATCATTGAATGTGTGATGAGATTATTAAGTACTAAAGTGAATAAGCCATTTTTTAATGCCTCTTCATGCAGAATTAAAGTAAACATATTGGTTTCTTTTTAAAAATAACCCTAACGATGTATAGGTAATTTGAAATGCTTGAGGTGAAAAAAATGATGAGATTTGTGTGAGTCCTATAAAATTCATCATATTTAGAAGATTTTGTCTATATTATTTGGCCTAATATGGCTTAATGTTTTGAATGAATCTGAGATTTTAAAAAACAACTACCTAATTTTATCTTGATAGCATTCCATTTTGAATTCCCATAGAGCACAGTTGTTGTTTTTTTCAGACACATTTTTTATATAAATAAATATAAAAGGTTCATTTGAATAATGTTTTATGCCTTTGTTGATACGGGGAATGGGATTAGGAATGGGGTATACAAGAGAAAAAACCCAGAATGTACTAATATATACTTTTTTTTTGGTTATCACTTAAATTTATACCATATTTTATGGGCATAATTTTCCTTTCTTTTTTTATTTTATTTTATTGTTTAAAGTCTTACAAATAGTAGTACATATGTCTCCTTTTTTTCCCCATTGACCTTCCCCCAGTCTCCCCTACTCCCTGGCACATGCTCTCACCCCTCTCCCCAGTGTCTTGAGTCCATTTAGAGCAGTGGTTCCCAACCTGTGGGTCGCGACCCCTTTGGGGGGTCGAACGACCCTTTCACAGGGGTTGCCTAAGACCATCGGAAAACACATATATCATTACATATTGTTTTTATGATTAATCACTATGCTTTAATGATGTTCAATTTGTCACAATGACATTGGGGGTCACCACAACATGAGGAACTGTACTAAAGGGTCGCGGCATTAGGAAGGTTGAGAACCACTGAGTTAGAGCATAGTTTTAACGGCACTTAATCTTCTTTTCCCTCTTTTTAAGACAAATGAAATGATTTCCCAGGAATCCGTTCTAATTAGTACTGACGTGGTGTTTGCCTTGTCTTTAGAACTGCTCTGATGGTGGCCTGTGAGATCGGCAGCTCTCAGGTCGTGGAGGCCTTAATTAAAAAGGGTGCAGACCTAGCCCTTGTGGATTCTCTCGGACACAATGCCTTACATTATTCCAAACTCTCAGAAAACGCAGGAATTCAAAGCCTTCTGTTATCAAAAATCTCCCAGGATGCTGGTATGTGAAAGAAAATAGCCGGTGTTGTTTTAAGTTTGTCCACCCCGTTTTCCCCAAAGGATAAAGGAATTTGTGCAATATGATATCTTTTATTATTCTTTTAAGCATATTCTTGAAGAAAAATGAAGTACTAAGTATTGTGTGTATTGTGTGTATCCCTCCACCCAAAGTGGATATGAATTATTATGCCTCTTACAATTCTTTTCCCCCCCCACTTTTTCCTCTATAGATTTAAAGACACCAACAAAACCAAAGCAGGTATTTATCTTTGGGAGAGGGAATTTTTTTTTTCATCTTTGCTTGTGAGAATTTGAAAAATGTTCTGATTAAACCACTTTGTGGTTCTAGCGAAGTCATAAAGACTCTTTTTGGGAACATTTAAGGAGTGAAATATCTTTAGCATAAATGATTCATCGTTATAAGGTGGTAAATATTTTCTAAATGGTTTACTCTATTCCCAAAGCTTGTCACTTTAAACCTGCTGCTTATATATGTATCTTTTTCTGAAATGTACTAATATTTCCTATGGTTGTGAAAATGATGTGGTTTAAGCTCAGAATGCATAACAGTATTTTAAATATTTGGGCTGTCATATGGATTATAGAGCCACATCCCTGGCAAAGTTAGATAGTTAATGAAAATCAGAGATTAGCTTTTCCTTTTAATTGGGGCTGCTTAAAAATGTCATTAGTGTTACACCGAAATTGAGAAATTTGCCCTGATATTTTGGAGTTTTTCTAAAAGCATAGCCACTATTGTTTACTCTATTATTAACGAGATGTATCTTTGGCTGTTTATTTACACATCAGAGTTTTTGAAAAAATTAAAAACACAAAACTCAGCACTGAATGTATTAGGCACTAACTGTGTCACTTATTCATCCAGAACTTTTAGAGATGAGGTTCTCCCTACCCCCATGTTTACATTCTGTGAGGAAAGGAGTGGAAGTGACGCGAGTGGGGGACATGCCGCCGCTCTGCCTTAAGATGAAAGCTAGACTGACTGTATCCTGGGTTCTAAACGGTGGCCCACAGCTCCCACCCTCCACTCCCCCAGTTTCCACACCACCGTCAGCTGATTTCGTCTCGTGTTTTTATGTGCTTGCTATTAAAGCATGGGCTGCCGAGAGAAACTGTGAGCATGCACATCCCTTACTTGTATGTGGGGAGCAGATTTCTGAGCTCGGTACCGTGAGAAATGCATGGCCTGTGGGGTGTTTGTGCCTGTTTGATGAAGCTGTGTGCTCGGACTTTACTAACCTCACTAACCCGCCTCCGTTCTCTGGCCTGTGACAACTTTCAGCATGACCAAGTGTCTAAAATAAGCTCAGAGAGAAGTGGAACTCCAAAAAAACGCAAAGCTCCACCACCTCCTATCAGTCCTGCCCAGGTAAACACCTCGCAGCCCGGGGAACTCGCACCGGCAGAGGCGCCGTCTTGTTCTGTGTGTCGCCAAAAAGAATGTTTTAGAGTTGAGCCTTCAGCGCACATGGGAGATTTTTCTTTACAAATTGTGATCTGGAGGATTTTAATGATTAGAATGGAAATAAGGTTGATTCTTATTTCAAAACGGAAAAGTTGAGCCGTATCTATTTTTTAAATATGTTTTTATTTATTTCAGAGAGGAAGGGAGGAGAGCGAGAGAAAGATCAGTGATGAGAGAATCATTGATCGGCTGCCTCCTGCACACACCCTCCTGGGGATCGAGCCCACAACCCGGGCATGTGCCCTGACCGAATGGAACTGGGACCTCCTGGTTCATAGGTCAATGCTCAACCACTAAGCCACGCTGGCCAGGCGAACAGTACCTTTTTTTTAAGCCTCAAGGAAATTTCTCAACGTCTTTATGACGGAGACTTTTTCCTGAAGTTGACAAGTTCAGTTCCTTTGGGCCCTCAAGCCCTAGTGTGAAGGGCAGGAGAACAGGTAGCTGGTGAAGCAGTTAGTTACAAATGAATTGTAGTTGGTTTCTGAAAACACTGTTAAATTATATTTGCCTTTCTAATTACATTTAAGGTTGACTTAAAAGCAGCTTTCATTTCTGGTTATAGTGACTACTGCAGAGAGGAGGAAGCGCAGATGTCTTTGAAAAGCAGGCTGGGTTTGTTATTAAAAGAATCATGGGCCATAAAAAGAATAATCCATATTCAAATAGTTGAGAGCAGTATCTCATCTGATAAGTAATTTTAACTATGTTAGCATGTTCATTAATAATGTTCTCAACCTGCCATATAAGTCATCGATTTTTAAAATTGATTCTAGTACATATAGGAGCAAAGCCGTTTAGTTATGTCCTGCAAACTTTCAGAAAGTATTTGAGGTTTCTGAATCGCACTGAAGATCTGTTACCGCCCCCCTCCCCCCGCCCCAATAATTGAACCTGAGAATCACTGTTCAGTTTGTTTGCATTGCTGAAATGCTTTGACACTGGCGGAGAAAAGACTTTGAAGAAGCATTCTTCACCAGTGGTTTTCATTTTCTCTTTTTAGTTGAGTGATGTGTCTTCCCCAAGATCAATAACTTCAACACCAATTTCAGGAAAGGAATCAGCATTTTTCGCTGAACCACCCTTCAAGGTATTTCCTTCCTGTGTTCAATTTGGTTATTGAATTGTATGAAACATAGTAGGTTTGGTTTAAGTTATGCGACACTGGGCAAAACAGAATTACTTCTCAGTGACTGGTTTACAAACTTCTCATCCCAAAGTACCCTTGGTTATTTTCCTGGCATGGACTCCATCCCAAAAGAAGAGTACATTACATTTATTAGCTAATAATTAATTTCCTCATTCAATAAAAAGGGACAAAGGTGAAGCTTACCTGACAACCAGTTGTCTTTTTTTAAAAATATATTTTATTGAATTATTTTACAGAGAGGAAGGGAGAGGGATAGACAGTTAGAAACATCCATGAGAGAGAAACATGCATCAGCTGCCTCCTGCACAACCCCCACTGGGGATGTGCCCGCAACCAAGGTACACGCCCTTGACCAGAATGGAACCTGGGACCCTTCAGTCCGCAGGCTGACGCTCTATCCACTGAGCCAAACCAGTTAGGGCTAGTCTTACTAAACTGAGTTGATATAATGCCAATCAAATGAAAAGTTACGTTGTTCTCTGATGTCTTACTGAGAAGTAACTGTATGTTTTTAATTAATCTCTTTTCCTAACTATAATAGTAACATTTATTTTAGAAAAATTTAAAAAATCCACTAGGTTTTATTCCACCTGGATCTGTAGACTTGTGGTTGGAAATTATTTTTAGGAATGGGAGGGTATTTAATATCTATTTACCTAATAATCACTAGGAAATTGCACTTGGGAAGAAAGTAGTTTATTAATGTTAAAATGAAATTTCAGTGGTTTAATTGTATATTTATTTTCCCCATCTAAAAGTTACTAAAGGTAAATTTTCTTTTAACTTGGAAGCACTTTGATCTGAAAAATATTCTATCAACCCATCATTCCCCTCACTTTAACTAGATTTTACTAGTAACTCTTAAGATGAATACATATGCAAGGCAAGGAAGTTACACTCTTACAGTTAATACCCTAATATCTTCTCATATGCTTATGGCTCCAACAAGGCAATAGTAGCACAATTGTTATTTTTTGAAATAGAGTGCATAAAGACCTTTAAAAAACATAAGAAAATAAAAAGTGACACCAGTTATAATGGCTAAAATTCTAAAGAGGTTATAAAAACCAATTGTTGGTGACGACGAAGGAGAATTAGAGCTCTGATGCTCTTGGTGGAAATGTCAAATGGTACAACTATTTGGAAAAATGTTGGCACGGGTTTTTTTTTAAAGTTCAACATATGATCTAGCCATCCACTCCTATAGATGTTTATCGATGAGAAACTAAAATGTATGTCTCAAAAAAATCTTACACCCAAATGTTTACCAGTATACCTTCTTTTCTTGAGATGTTGTAACTGTTTTTCTAGTAAGATAACACCAGGGAGGAAATTTTGCTTGATTCCTCTGCGGGACGTTACATTCAGGAATATTCTTGTAAGTCATCTTTGTGTTCTAGCAGGCGGAGATCAGCTCCATACGGGAAAACAAAGACAGACTGAGTGACAGCACTACAGGTAAGCTGGGAGGCACCTGCCTCTGTCCTTTTACTCATCTCTGTCCCATGAGAGCAGAGGCCAAGCGGGGCTCCTCTGTGTGGGAGGCCGGAGAACCCCGGTGTGCCCCCCCCCAGAGCTGCCACTGCCACACGGCTCATGCCCGCTGTACCTCAGGCACCTTCACCTGGATTTTAAGGCGTCTCAGAGCCCTGATGCGAAAAAAATGTATCTGCTGCCATTTGTCCCAAACTAAGTTTTAGCACTTCCTTCCATTATGATCATAGACAGTAACCCAAGTGGTATAAGCGGACCAGGGACTTTGACACCAAGAGCTTTCGCAGGTCGCGTCCTCTCACCTGGCTGTTGTTACAGCTGCTTGCAATAGCATTCTAGAAATTTCTAGTACCTGCTAGAAATCATAGCCTCCCTAGACCTGCTGCCAGATCTTGTTATTCGTTCTGTCACAAAAAAAGTCCTTAAATTACTGTAGCTGCCTATTCTATGTGGCGTATTGAAGCGGTTGCTTTGAGATGAGGTCCGTGGGCTGCAAGCTGGCAGCTCTCCTTGAAGGTGAGCAGCATGTAGTTTCCTGAAGGGAGAGCCAGCCCAGCCCCCGGTGTCGGCCACATGCAAAACGGTGTGCTGATGAAACCACACAATCGGATTGTCTTCATCGGGTCAGGGTTTAGTTCATGGCGTTGAGTCCATCCTGTGGGTCTGTCCTTTAGGAATGTAGTATAGTTCCTCTAGAATCAGTTTAAAATATAGATTATTTCAAAGGTCCTTTTTTTGCTCCAGTATTCAGTTTCTTAGTCTTAGCATTTCATGTGTTTGGAGCCTTTAACTTACAGAGGAGAAATATTGGCCCTGGGTGGTGCAGCTCTGTTGGTTGAGCATCGTCCCTTGCACCAAAGGGGTCGCCGGTTCCATTCCCGGTCAGAACACTTGCCTGGGTTTCGGGCTGGATCCCCAGCAGGCGGTGTGCAGGAGGCAGCCGGCTGATGTTTCTCTCTCACATGAATGTTTCTTTCTCTCTCTCTCAAATCAATTAAAAAACATTTAGAATTTATAAATATTAACTTTCGTATTCCTAGTAGAGACCAATGTTAACATCACTGTAACAGTTGTTACATTGGACACTTTAAAACTCATCCATTGTATCTTAGAGGTGATTTCTGTTGCTTAGAATTACAGTCCTGCTCCCAGTCCCCTGATTCATTCCATGCTCACGTGACTGCATGATTAAAGCTGCAGGTTGGGCACTAGACGCCAGAAGTAAGCGTATCTATGAAGAAATGTCAGTTTGTATATTTTCAAATGAAGAGAAAAGCTTTTGTCTTTGCATTAAATGGCTGTGAAAAAATTTTAAATAACAGGAAAACATTTAGATCAGTGCTATTCCGATCAGCCTATCAACGGCTGCCATGGCACGATAAACATAAGGAATCTGCACCAGACAGTCAGCAGCCATATCACTAGGCATACTGTTTTGTCCGGCTGACGTTTTTTTTCATGAGAAGACTTTCCAGGTGAAGAAAGCGGTACATTGAATTATATTCTGGAGCAAGTTCCTTGTCCCCATCAGTCAGCACAGTGAATGGCATTGCTTTCTATGCTATTGCAGTGTGATGGTCAGTAGGATGTCTCCAAGTTGTGGCTCACCCCCGGTGTTTACTGCGGATTTGGAGAAGACCGTATCATGCTGCAGTGGTCAGCAGATACTTCGTGGAGGGGACAGAGTTTGACATGGCTCTCCTGAAGGATGCTGAAGGGTTATCTAACCAAAGAGATGTTGCAAGGGCGGTCGTATGGATGAAGCGTTAAAGAAGCAGCCTTGTGTTGAGAATATAGAGGGTCTGATGGGAACCTTGAATCTGAGGAGTGTGGGTACCAGAGGAAGAAATCATGAGTCATAAACCTGACACAGTAGATTGGGGCCAGATCATAGCGGTCTTAATGTAGATAAAGGGATTTGAAATGTGGAGGGAGAGCAGTTAAAGCACTTGACCCGAAGGAATGGCCCGATCAAAGCATATTTTAGGGAGATTAGTGGGACAGTGGTGTGCAGGCTACATTTTTACTAGGGCGAGGGAGCGGGGGGTGGGGGAGAGAGAGACATTTATTGGAAGCTGTTTGCAAAGTTTCAAAGTAGCTGATAACGGCTGAACCTGTGTAATGGCGGTGGGGTTAAGAAGTGGGCCATCTTCCAGAGATGTTTCTAAAAGGATTCACAGAAATGGGGCTCATTAAGTATGGGAGGGACAAAAAGCAGCCAAGCTATCCTTAATCGAGTGAATGGGAAGATGCATGATCAAATCCATCGATTTTCAGGTGAGGTGCTGTGCATCCAGGCATCTAGGGTTGTGCTGGGGATACCCCAGTAAGGTAACCCAGGACCGAGAATTGCTGTTTACTTATCCAGCTGATGGGACTCTCATTCTTAGGACCAGGAAGAACTGGATTGGGCAGAAAGGGGGTTTGTTAGAGGCCAGAGAAATAACCGTTTAATTTTTAAATATTAGTTTGCATTGCCTTTCTCTTTCCCCAGGTGCTGATAGCTTATTGGATATCAGTTCTGAAGCTGACCAACCAGATATTCTTGTCCTATTACAAGCAAAAGTTGCATCTCTAACTCTACACAATAAGGAATTACAAGATAAATTGCAGGTCGGTAGCTGGATCACCACCACAGACTATTCTGTTGGGTTAAGATACTGGGTTTTTCAGGGTTAGTCAGATGATATTTTATTTTAAACATCTACATTAGTTTCTTCTTTTTTAATATAGTTAGCCTCAACTATATATATCTAAGCCTTTGTAGTTCCAAGTTATTTCTTTTTTGAAAGAATTATTCATTAGCCCTATTTCTGTAAGTTTCTAAATTGGTAAATTATCTATAATTATATACATAGTATGATATATGACAAATTATATAGATAGATAGGTAAGTGTAAAGATATGCAATTAGCCATTCATTTAGTAAAGTTGATCATTTAGCAAATTTAAGAAGTAACTGTACTAAGCCCATTCATTGCCCATTTCAGCATAAATAATATGAGAAATAAAGGGAAATTTTGAGCCAGAGGCTTTGCACCCAAAGCAAATCTACTGTTTTTCAAGTGGCGCTAAAAATCTGTTCGAATAGAGCACAGAGTAGGCTTAGTGTCGGTAATCTGACTCCCGGGTCTCAGGTGATGTTTTTTCACGAGGCGAGAGTACACCCGCAAGATGATCCCGCTGCTCGCCCATACATAGGTTCTGGGTGTGAGCTCTCCTTCTAGGTGCTTGCTCACCTAACCGCACTTTGGGTGCCATTTCATTATTCTTGCTTTTTTTTTCAGGCCAAAACCCCCAAAGAGGCAGAAGCGGACCTGAGCTTTGACTCCTTCCATTCCACTCACACTGACTTGGCCCCGTCTCTCGGGAAACCTAGTGACACCTCTCCCCCCAACTCCAGATCCCCTCCACCGGCCTCTGCCCATGCCCTGAGTAAACCCCCAGTCGACGGCGATGTCAGGCTTCAGCAGCTGCAGGAGGTCTTGCAGGACCTGCAGAAGAGACTGGAGAGCTCCGAGGCAGAGAGGCAGCAGCTGCAGGCCGAGCTCCAGTCCCGGAGCCCGGAGCCCGTGCGCCTGAACAACGCCGAGATTTCCGAGAACGGCTCCGACCTCAGCCAGAAACTGAAAGAAACTCAGAGCAAGTACGAGGAGGCCATGAAAGAAGTCCTGAGCGTGCAGAAGCAGATGAAGCTGGGCCTCGTGTCGCCCGAGAGCGCGGATGCTTCCTCTCACCTCCGGGAGCTGAGGGTCCCCGAGGAGGAGGTACAGGCGCTGAGGCAGGACCTCCAGAAGGCACTGGAAGACAGTGAGAGGAACAAGGAGAAAGTGATGATGTTGGAGGAGAAACTGGCCGAGAGGGAGAAGGGGGCGGGGAACCAGCCGGCCGCCGAAGAGTACGAGGCAATGAAAAGTTCCTATTGCTCTGTTCTTGAGAATATGAACAGGGAGAAAGCGTTTCTGCTCGAGAAATACCAGGAGGCCCAAGAAGAAATCTTGCAACTGAAAGATACTCTGAAGGGTCAGGCGGCGCAGGAGCCCGGCGATGACGCGGGAGACATGAAAGAGACCATGCACAGGATGATCGATGAGCTCAACAAGCAGGTGAGCGAGCTGTCCCAGCTGTACAAGCAGGCGCAGGCCGAGCTGGAGGACTACCGGAAGAGGAAGTCTCTGGAAGACCTCACCGCCGAGTACGTCCCCAAAGTGGAGCATGAGAAGCTGATGCAGGGGGCCGGCCTGTCCAGGGCCCAGGCGGAGGAGGCGCTGTCCGAGATGAAGTCCCAGTACGCGAAGGCGTTGCAGGAGTTGGCTCAGCTCAAGCAGCTGGCCGACGCCCAGAAGGAGAACTCCGTGTCCATCGCCGAGCACCTGCAGGTGATCACCACGCTGCGGACGGCCGCCAAGGAGATGGAGGCGAAGCTCGCCGGTCTCCAGGAGCTCCTGGCCAGCAGGGAGGTGGAGGTGGCCAGGCTGGAGAAGCAGCTGGTGGAAGAGAAGGCGGCGCTGACCGAGGCCACGGTGCCCCGGGCCGCCTACGAAAAGCTCCAGGCGTCGCTGGAGAGTGAAGTGAGCGTGTTGGCCTCGAAATTAAAGGATTCCGCCAAAGAGAAAGAGAAGGCCCAGTCGGAGGCCGCCCAGGTTAGAAGTGAGGCCTCACGGTTGAAAAGGGAAAAGGAGACGCTTCAGACTCTCTTGCGATCCAAAGAGCAAGAAGCCGGGGAGCTCGTGCAGAAGTCGCAGCGTGCGCAGGAGGAGCTGGCGGAGCTGAGGCGGCACTCGGAGAGCTCCTCCCGGCTGGAGGAGGACAAAGACAGGAAGGTGGGCGAGGGCCCTTGCTGTTGAGCTTCTAGCTAGTGAGCCCTGGGACCTTCTGTCGTTCGCATGTTTACCGTTGGTTCACACTAACTTGCTGCGAACGCTCAGAGGCCCGGCACACGAATCCCTCTGTCCCCAAAGCCACATTAGCGTAGTAGGTTAGACATTTATTTAAAAGAACGACACTTCCCTTATCGTAAAGCATTTTCACATATGTGGTGCATGATTTTTCTTGTGAAATGACTTTACAGAAGCTCTGCCAAGTGTCAGGGCTCAGAAGTAACCCCACAAACTGAAAAGCGCTTGTGACCGATCTTGAACTTGAACTCTTGGCACCCAGACAGATTCCTCTGTCATATGGAGCCCAAATACTTCCAGACTTAATCCTGCTTCCCTAAGTCCTATGGGCTTTCCCGAGTCAGTATAAAAATGGCCTTTCCTGGCCCTCATTTTCACCCGTGCATGGAAGTGGGGAAGCTGGGGAGGAATGTGGGGTGCGGGTGATGAGAGATGGACTGGGCGTGGCCTGAGGAAGAGGGGAGAGCGGAGCGGAGGATGGTTCTGTGCCAAATCTGCTTTGCTGCCAGTCCCCTGGGCCAGATGCTCTGCGTGGCATGGACTAGAGCACTGGTGATCATTTATTCCTTTATGATGATGGATGCTTCCAACGAGCTCCCAGAGCCAAGGGGGCAGGGAGGTGGGAGAAGAAGGGGGGAGATTGTGTTTACTTTAAGACAAGATGTCCAGAAATATCAGGGTTTCTATAACTTATTCCTAATCGTCCATGCCAGCAAATAAAGAATGCCTAAAATCCTGTTTCTGTTAAGAAAAAACAAGAGAGGGAAACCAGTGTTATAGTGTTTATCTTTATGCATCAAAACACAGTATTTAATTGGGGGTCCTTATCCTATATAATAAAAGGCTAACACGCAAATTGTCCCCTCTACCAGGAGTTTGACTGGGAGTTCGACCAGAGGGTGGGGCCAGCTGGCCAATGGCCCGCGGCCCCTCCCCCTGGCCGGCCAACCTCCCGCATCCCCTCCCCGGGCCTGGCTAGCCAGACCCCACCCATGCACGAAATCGTGCACTGAGCCTCTAGTTTGAATATAATGGCCTTAGAAGGCTTCGTGGGTTTGTCTGATGTTGTTATGTGTTTCATTTTATGGGTTTTCTCTGAAATGTATAAAAGGAATTGTTCCAGAGTCTCAAGTCCTGGAGGCTAACAGAGGCTGTGTTCAAGGCGTAGGAATACCTGGGATTTTGCTTCTGCAGGCACGTTCCTGCCTGTTGGTCATAGCTTTCCTTTTTCACTAGATAAACGAGATGTCGAAGGAAGTCACCAAGCTGAAGGAGGCCCTGAACAGCCTCTCGCAACTGTCCTACTCGGCGAGCTCCTCCAAGAGGCAGAGCCAGCAGCTGGACGGGCTGCAGCAGCAGGTCAAGCAGCTCCAGGCCCAGCTGGCTGTGAGTGGGCTGTCCCCGCCTGGTGGGGTGGAGGGCAGGGCGGGCTGCATGCCTACTCCGCTGGGAGGGCAGGTGGGCATGGCCGGAGTCCCAGCCTAATAGAGTGTGTACTTCAGGGAGCAACTCACGGTGTCCTCTTTGGTGAGGGCAAAAGAAGGAACTGCCAAATTTCCACTTATTATCTGCTGTGAGTTAGGGGGATGTATCTCTGAGGACGAGGGACCAGCAGGACAATGGAGTAGGCCTGTTCTTCCCTTCCGTCCACCAGCTTATCACCCCTTCATTTCTCTGCAACGGCCGTAACCGTCTCTCACAGTGGCGAGCACTTTTCTTGCTAGCGGCCAGGATCTCTGGTTGTTGCGCATCTACGGGTCTGAAGCTGTTTCTTGGCCCCGCCCCCTTTTCACCCAGAAAGTCCTCTCCTATCTGGATTAGTTTCCGATGACTATTTCCTATGACAGAGCAGCACAAACGTGGTTTAGAACAACACACATTTATTATCTTAATGTTCTGGAGGTCATCGGTCTTGCTGGACTAAAGTCAGGATGTCAGCAGGGCTGGTTCCCTCCGGAGGCTCTAGGGGAGATCAACTTCCTTGCCCTTCCTAGCTTTTAGAGGTCACGTGAATTCCTTGGCACATAGCCCATGCCGCCATGTTCAAAGGACAGCACTTCAGCCCGTGGTCTGTCCTCCCATCTCCTTCTCTGACCTTTGACCTTACTCTCTCTCTTAAGGACCCTGTGATCGCATTTACGTAAGGTGCACCCAAATAATCAGGATACTCTCTCTCCACCCCACAATCCTTAGTCACACCGTAAGGTCCCTTTACCATGTAGGTAACAGGCTCTAGGATTAGGACGTGGGCGTCTTCGGAGGGCCATTGTTAGTTACTGCAGGATAAGTTAAGGTTTCGGTTGACGAGGGTTTGTGTTTTCCATGTGAAATCGAGGGTTAGTCTGTCCTGGGCCATCGCTAGCTTCCTGTTACAAACAGGACCTGGCTTTTATGATTTCTTCAGGGCACAGTTAATGCACTGGCGAGTTCAGATTTCTGCCGTCCTGAGTCTGGCTGGCCACCAAGGCCAACACCAGCTGTTCTGTGCTCCCGGCGCTAGCACTGGAGGAGCAATCAGGGGAGAAGAAGATGCTCCCCTCTGTGATCTGAGGGTCACTTTTTGATCACAGATGGGTAGATAAAGTGCTCATGGTTTCGACAGGCATTCTTACAATTACTCAACATGTGTTTAAGGAGTTCTTCTGTGTCGGTATTGTCCAAGGTACTGATGGTATAAAGATGAATAAGACACAGCCCCTGCCCTCACAATTGATATGTAATATGGCTTGCCGTATTCCTGATGTGGTCAGCATTCATCGATAGAGAGACGCCCAACATGCTGAGGGCAGCAGAAATGTGTGCTTACCCACCTGGGTGAGTCTCAAAAGGCTTCCTGCGGAAGGTGGTGCTCGTGCTGAGTCTCGAAGGGATGAGTAGGAGGCAGCAAGGACCGAGATGTGGCATTTAGTGGCCCTGGGTAGCCTTGGCGAGAACACCTCCAGTGGCGTGGCAGCCAGATCTGCCCTGCCTGCTGGAGAAGCGAGTGAGTAGTGAGGTGTCCGATGGGGCTGAAGAATCCCAGTGCGAGGTGGGGAAGCCTGAGGTAGGTTTCCTAGAAGGACAGGAGATGGTGGTCAGAGGGTGGGATGCTCTCGGTTGAGATTTTAGAGGCAGTGAGTGAGGCAGGGCCATGACCATGAGAGTGAGTGGCTGGAAGGAGGAGGAGCAAGTCACTGAAGCTGAAGTGGAGGAACTGGGGGGCCAGGGTTAGGTGGCTCCTCCATGCAGATGCTGCAGTCAACCCACTGCTGCCAGAAGCCGGGATGGAAAGGAAGGCAGTGACCAGAGTTATCAGTGATTGCGTGCAGGCGACCGAGAGGTGGGAGGAAACAGCAGAGAGATACCAAGCACGCCTTCTGATGGCGTGAACGTCAAAGGGCTGAGGTTGAAGGGTTCTCCTTGAGTAGGGAGGACACATGTCAACGATGATAGGAAGGCGACGACAAGGAGTATTGGGAGGCTTGTGCAGATTTTTGAAGAGATCCATCTACGGCAGTCTCGCTTTTCATCGTGAAGTAGGAGGAAGGGCCTCTTTTTAGAAGAGCTTAGAGCTAAGTGAGGCTCCTTGAAGTAGGCGCTGAGAGGAACTGGAACAATCGCTCCGCAAGGAGATGTAGAAGCATTAGCAGCTCTGCCGAGGGACCATGGCGATCGATGCCACCACTCCTCCTCGGTGCCCCAACAGCTCAATCAATGTGCTTCCCGGGGAGTATATGGTACCAGCTATGGAGTGGGTGGTAATAACTAACTCCCTTTGAAAGAATATATTTTTTAATTAAAATATTTGGTTATTGTAGAAAAGTTAGAAAATGTAGAAAAACTCTGAAAAAGTTCCCAAAAATAAACTGCTAATTATTCAACCACTCAGAGATGATTACTTTTTGCATTTGATATATTTCCTTGCACTATTTACCTTGTGTGAATGTATCTGTATATTTGCATAAAGTATGTATAGATACATATATACACATATATATGCAACAAATTTGGGATTATAATAACTACTTCTTACATGAATTTTCTTCTCGAGTTGACATACAAAGTCATAAATAGATTTTTTTCCCCCCTGAGAATATTGACAAATATTCAGAAACACACAAGTCAGTGAGCGCACAACAATTTAAAAGCTTCTATGTAAGCATTGGATGGAGGGAGTCGCTTGGGGAGCAGTTGGCCACAGCTCTCTGTAACCAAGTAAAATCACCTCTTCCTAGGAGTGCAAGAAGCAACACCAGGAGGTCATATCGGTTTACAGGATGCATCTTCTGTACGCGGTGCAGGTATGGTAACGCGCTGCGAAGTGCCCGGATGCCTGAAAGAAATACTGCAGTCCACGTTGCCAAGTCCCGTCATCAAACTAGTAGAACGAATGAGAATTCGAGGAGAACCCTGTACCTAGGAAAGCTTTCAAATGCCTTCCGCCCGGCTTTGGATTCTGTGTCGGGAACCCTGTCCTAACTGCTGAGAGCGACCTCGGCATTTCTCGAGAAACAGGAGGACGCAGCTGCTGCTCCCCCACCCTCAGGATCGGGAGCCCGGGCTTGATGTCCGAGGCTTGCCCATATGTTCACTGCTGCTGGTTTGGCTCGCTGGGCTCATATGTGCAAGGAGACCCCAGACTCCCTTTGCTGGGGCTCTGTCAGTCTCGGCCTCGTCATCCTCCAGGGGTTCAAGAGCAGGGCCCTCCCAGTCTCAGTTCCCTAGAGAAATGTGGGGATTGCTAGGGGTAACTAACATTCCTTGGGAAGATCAGGGGCCCGGGGCTTCATCCCAGCCAGCCATCTCGTTCCCTCAGCGAGACAGGACGTCACTGAGGTTCCAATGACTGTCTTCTGTTCGACCTTCCAGGGCCAGATGGATGAAGATGTCCAGAAAGTTCTGAAGCAGATCCTGACCATGTGTAAGACCCAGGCCCAGAAGAAGTAGAGCGGGTTCCCCGGCGGGACACTGCCCCTCGCTGTCCACCTTGGGGTTGGACCGGGGTTGCTGGCGACCACTGCCACCGTTCTCGTTCGTGGTGTGCACCGGGACCTGGCCTGGCTTCTGCCCTTCCAGGCTGCTTTCTGAGGACTGGCCCCGGGAGAAGACTGTCCCCTCAGAACTCTGGGGAGACTCAACAGCAGCAGAGGGGACAGTCGCTGTCATCGCTTCTGATTCCAGAGCTGGGTCAGCCGTGCCCAGGAGCCGGGCCTGGTGCTGGGGCGTGGGCCCCGGCCTGGCGCCTGACCAGCTGTGTGGCTCCCCCCTTGCCTCTGGTTTCCAATCCGCAGACATGATTTGACTTCTAAGCAGATCAGTGCAGCGCTAGTGATGCGGTGCCCGCCTAGGACCCTTTACCCGACGTCCTGTGGGTTTGAAACTCTCAATCCCATCTTCCCCCCATCTGCCTTAGGTAGCTCGTCACCGGCTGGCCAGTCTGAGCTTGATGAGCACCATTCACTAGAACATGAAGCTTAGAAAGAAAAGCAAGCTGCCCTTAAAAGTTTTTAAGTAAATCGTGGACATGTTGCAAATTCTCTATGCAAACTTGCCTTCTGCCATTACCCGCGAAGCTCAGGAAATCCAAACAGTCGTGTTTCAACAAGGGACAGTAAACTGCGTGTTTACAGCCAAAAGAAATGCCTCATCGTTCTTAACCTCGATTTTTTAAAAGTGATGTGTTTTTTCTCTCTCTACAGTATTTTTATTGGCTCTTAAAGATGTTTTCATATCTAAATCCCTTGAGTAAGTGAAATTCACATGAGACTCTATTAACAAAATATTTTTTAGGTAACCATGCTTAAAACTTTTTAGAAATAGGACTTTTTCCTGAACGTTTTCAGCGATAGCGAAAGGTAGTTATATATTCCAAGCTCAGTGTGAGCTGCCAGACCCTCAGCGCTGGAGCGCGTTTCTTAAGAGAGTGCGTCCTCCTGGTACCCGGTGAACACTTTTGAATGCCCGGCTCTGCCAGCGCCAGAGAGGATCTCTGGAAGAACTGTTAGCAACAGTCCGTGTTTCAGCTTGGAGACGAGAAACCCCGGTACGGTAAACATCGGGGTGCATGGCAAAGGTCTTTGGGGGGAAATGTTTCTGTTCCCTTTCTTTCCTTTCAGGTTAAAAAAAGAAAATGTTTCTAACTTGCTTGCCACTTCCCTGTCAGCGTGGATCTTCCTGAGGGATGTAAACAGAAAACAGAAATCTGCCAAGTGTGTAATTAAAAGCGCAGGCCTGCTCCGACAGGGCCCGGGTGACAGGGCCGCCCGGGCCGGGGGTGCTTGGCTGCACTGGATGCCGACCAAGGCCAGCAGAGCAGAAACGGCTGTCCAGCTCCGTGTTCCTTTTCCTGAGTTGTTTATAGTTAAGCAATTTCGAAAATGCTGCAAAGAAATGTGAAAGGACTTCCCGTCACAGCACTTACGGAGACACAGGACACCCCTCGCGCCCCGCACAGCACGCTGCGGAGTGGGAGACTGCGAGACTGCAGGGTGCTTGACACAGCGCCTCTTAGCGCATCTCGGGAGCATATTTATTACAAGTTCTCCGGTTAGATATTGGAACGCCGTATGCCGTGGGGTAGCACTCTGCCTTTGTGATGTACTGAGGTATGACGGAAATAAACCTCTGTTCCATTTTGCATCTCTGCTGCTGCTTTTTGTTGCTCCTCCCAACCCTGCGTTCCCGTCTCCACAGGCCACAGCTATTTTCGTGTGATCTGAGACCTTCCGTGTCAGAGTGTCCGCGGGGGCGTGTGTTTCACTTTCCCCTTTAAACGGAGAAGCATACTTCACACCCTCTTCTGGGCCTTAGTTTCCCACTTAAAAAGGCCTGGAGAGTGCTCTCTGCCAGCACACATAGCTCATGCTTTTAAACCAGGTGTGGGGAACCTTTTCCTGCCAAGGGCCATTTGGAATATTTTTATAACATTATTTACAGCCCGTGGGCCGGACGTTCCCCACCCCTGCTAAACTGTGGCATAATATGTCATAGTATGATTGTGCTATATCTTATTTAACTAACTTCTCGTTGATGGGCATTTAATCTGCTTCCAGTAGTTTACAGCCCTGGCAACGATGCGATGACTGTCCTATCTGTAAACATCTATGCATACGCATGAGGATTTTCACCCTCCCTCTCTCCATGTGATACAGGAGCGCAGGGGAAAAGCAGTGGGGCAGTGTATGCATCATCATAGCGAGTGAGAAAGAATGGCCTTTTCCTTCACACTGGTTAAGAGTCCTCAATTTGTTTTCCGTACATAAGCCTCAGCTGAACTCCAAAGCTTTTAACAATGAACCCCACCCACCATAAGATAAACACACGATGCACTGTGTGGAGAACACGCTCCCCAACATGTTGAAGCACAGCCGTTCTCCATGCGACACAGCTGTGGCATGCCGGGTGCTGACCGCAGCAGAAACATTACCCAGCAGAGATGGGGTGACACTTTCTGAGCAAAGTTAGCGGACAGGACAAAGAGTGAGCTGGAAAAGCAACAGACCCCTCGCGCATGTGGAGTAGCGATTTCTGTTCCCCAGCTCAGCAGAGAACTGCCAAGCATCGTGGGAGTCTGGCATATTTGGGACAGGACAAGATTGTTGCCACACGTGAGCCAGGGGAGCTGGTGGAGGGAGCGATCTATGTGGGTTCCAGCTGGTGGGAAGGGTCCCCTGAGGAGTAAATCCCCCAGAGATGGAGGTGAGTGAAAGGGAAGAAAAGAGACATTCTGCACATTTGTTACAAACCAGGCCCCCACATGGGAAGAAACAGTATATTCGAGATTGGATGCACCCGATTATAAATGGAGCATGTGTTGGGGAGAAAAAGGAGCAGGTCGGCCAAATGATGTTAAGATTTTAACAGGGGAAGAGATAGGCAGTTCCCTATGTGTCACCTCCAGGTATTTAAACCTGGGCCATTGAATTCAGGTTAACCACTCTGGAAGGCAGAGTAATCCCTCCTCTCCCCAAAGAAGTCCATATCCTAATTCCCAGAACCAGTGAATCTTTGATGTTATGTGGCAAAGGGGGATTACGTCTGCAAGTAGAATTAAGGTTCACAATCAGCTGACCTTAGGACGAGATGACCTGGTTGTGCAGGTGGGCCTGAGGTGAGCAGAAGGGTCTTCAAAGTGGGAGGAGTCCGTGTTAAAGACGCTGCACTGCTGGCTCTGAAGGGGGAGGATGAGGCCCGGAACCAGGGAATGCAGAGGTCTCTAGAAGCTGAAAAAGGCAAGAAAATGAAATTCTGCCCCAAGGCCGCTAGGAAGAACCATCTTGTCTCCAGCCTGGCGGCAGCCACTGCAAACTTCTGACCGCCAGGACGATGAGATGACACATTTGTGTTAAGTCACTAAATTGGACTGACCCCAGGGAAGGCCTCCAGATAAACTTCTAAGGTGCAGAAATCTGGTCTTGCCGCTGCCCAAGACGAGCCTGGTGAGTCAGTTCCCTTGCTTATTAAACCCACCACCTTCCCACTCTGAGTGATCTGCCTTTTTCTTTGGCCTCTCCCTGCCCTCCAAGTATGGGGACCTGTTTCTGATTACACCCAGGAAGCTCCCAAGGGGGTGGCGACCCAACACTCGTCCTGTCTTGAGAGGCCAGAAAAATGTGTTTTAAGAAATTGCACAAGAGAGAGTTTATTTGGATTTCTTTGTTCTTAAGTGTCACAGTTCCTGGGGCTGGAAGAGTTTGGAAATAATCACATTTGCCTTGGGGTTGGAAGAGTCTAGAAGTACCCTCTACACCTGCTTCCTCTATGTGACTTTTGCAATGGCCACGCTTGCCTCTCCCACCTCGGGATCCACGAGGGAAGGTGGGTGAGCACCCTCTACAACCACTGTCCACCCAGATTGCTAGCAGCCCATTGCAGAGTGAGCGAACGAACCTGAAGCACAGTTACTATACGGCTTACATTGGGGGCAGGGCGAAGATGGCAAGGAAAGGAAAAGGTACCACCCAGATTTGGACCTCTCCGTCTTTACAGTCCTTCTACTTTGGTTTCTACCTTTACAGAGGAGGGCCACATGCTTCTAGCCAGCGCTAGTTAACTGGAGGGGGGAGCAGAGCACCCGCTGTCCCACGGGAATTCGGCGCCTGCCCTGGTACTGCACTTACCTGCACAGTGCTCGGCACGAGCAGGTATTCAGGACGGGAGCTGAGCTAAACATACACAGAAACAGCCTCGGGGCCTTTCCTAAAATGACAGGACACTGGCCCTTTCAGTTTAATGAAGGGCAACCTAAGGGGTTAGGGACATAAGTGTTAGAGAACGGGAAACCATTCTTCCTTTTTTATTGCCATACACTAGAGGCCCGATGCATGAAAATTCATGCAAGAGCAGGCCTTCCTTTCCCCGGCTGCTGGCACCGGCTTCCCTCTGGCACCTGGGACCGGGGCTTCCCTCCTCAGGCCACCGGCAGGCACCCCGGACCCGGGCTGGCTTCCCTCCGGCCCAGCTTGGTTAGGAAGGACGTCCGGTCTAATTAGCATATTACCCTTTTATTTTTATAGATGTTAGATATTGTTCACAGTCACAAACATCTGCAGTTTTACTCTCCCAGAATCCTGGACCTGGGGAGGGTTTGAGAAACAAGAGGTACAAATGCTCTCAATGGATAGGCAAGAAAATCAGGACCCATAGTCTGGGACTTGCCCCAGACCACACAGAGTGAAAGCCTAAACCATGAGGTCTTGAAGCTACGTTCACGTTCTCATTATTGTTCCATGCTGAGAATTCTCGTTGGAAACAGAGGATAAAGGGCGTGAGGTCTTTAGAACATGTGGGCTCAGGAAGTTGAGGGTACAGATTTAAACCTTAAGCGGATAGGTCTTCCCAGTTTTACCCAAGATAATATTTAAGCAACTCAGAAATAACTCCTCCGGCCCAACTCAGAAGGGCTAGATAGTGTGGCAGTCTTGGATCAACAGCAATGAAACTTCAGCCTTAACGCTGGGAAGAACAAACACCAAATGTAAACACCATCTCTCAAGTTCCTAGTAAATATTTTCCTTCTCTCTCTACCAAGCCTGTTTTTTTGTTTGTTTGTTTTTTGAAAATGAGAGAGGCATAGCAACTCCAACTTGCCTTGCCATAGGCCCTAATTCACTGTAGGGTTCATGATGATACCACCCTTAAGCATGGGGCTGCCAGAGCCAGAGCTGGCCACAGTTGCCTCTGCAGACGTGTTATTGTTACTATTGTGTGTGATTAGGGCCACTGAAAGGTGTAGTTTGAGAATACCTGGGCCCTGGCCCGGCGGTTCAGTTGATTGGAGCATCATCCTAGTGTAGACTAAAGGTGGCACAGGAGGCAACCTATCGATGTTTCTCTCTCTCAAATCAAAAACATACGCTGGGATAAGGATTTTTGAAAAGAATATATGGCTGTGCAATTTAGGGCTGTGTGATATTTGCCAAATGTGATTCTCCCCTCGAAACATTCTCTGAACTGCTAACCCTCCGCGGAAGCAGTGGTCCTTTCTTTAGCTGCTCGAGCCTGACACTCCGCTTCCCTAACAGGATGGCTCAAGTCTTACCCGGAGGGGCAACACAGCCGGAGCCAGCACCTTCAGCAGTTAGCTCTGAGCCTTTCCCCCGGGTCGGGGAGCCTGAAGGCCCGGGGAGCAACTGGGGTGCAGGATGCGCAGAGGGACGCACTGGGGGTGCAGGGTGTCCCCGAATACAGCCCAGAGGTCACAGCTTTCAACAGGCAGGTCCTGGAGCAGCACTCCTGTCCACCCTCCGATGGGATTGATCTCCTTTTCCTGTGCCTTCATCTCCGAGACAACAGGAAGCTTGGGAGCGACCCTGAGGTCGGGAGCGTCACGCCCGCGGGGACAGGAAGGCCAAGGGCGCGGGAGGAGCTGCGGGCAGCCAGAGCCGCCTGGATCCCACGAGGCCGGAAGTGCCCCGCATCGCCTGGGCTACAGGCGCCGATGCTTCCAGCCGCGTCCTCCGCGTCCTGTTCCCATGGCAACCCCGTCTCCGGAGCCGGAACCCAGGCGGCCTAGGAAAGCCGACCGACCTCGCTGCAAAGGACCCTGGGCGCCCCCGAAC